TAGAGAGAGAGAGAGAGAGAGAGAGAGAGAGAGAGAGAGAGAGAGAGAGAGAGAGAGAGAGAGAAGGGGAGAGAGGAGGCGAAATATCTATTGTCTCTCTGGCGAATCTCTCTCAAGTTGTCGTTTAGACAATTTGCTCCCACCGTTTTACTTTTTGAGCACGCGTTTTCCGCGCACCTATTTCATTCTTCTGTCGCATCTGACGACCCTTCAGCCTCCGTTTTCTGGGCGCACTCCCCTTGCTTGCCTCCCTTCCTTCCTCCCTCCTCTCTCTCTCTCTCTTGCTATTTCCCTCCCTCTCTCCCTCCTCTCTCCATTTCTCGGGCTTTCTTTTCCTATTTTTTGTTGAACATTCTCGGCGCTCTCCGGGCCCGTCATCATCCCGCACGGTCTGAGTCAGCTTCTCAGATGCACGGCAGCAATACTGTGGCAAAATTCGGGACCGATGATGGATGGGGGGATTGCCAGCCAGATATTCCTCTCCTTTCGCTCTCTCTTTCTCAGTTTCTTTCCCGCCAGATAGTCCTCTCCTTTCGCTCTCTTTCTCTGTTTCTTTCCCGCCCCCCCCCCGCCCCTCCCCCCCTTCCCTCTCTCTCTCTCTTTTCTCTCTCTGTGCTTGCCTTACGTCCGCGTTTGTCTTCTTGATTTTCGTTCCTCTTGTTTGTGGTTGATGCGCGTATGCGCATTTTTATTCATATGAAGGCTTTCGAGCGACCGGCTGGAGGAGAGGAGAACCCGCAGGGGATGGGTCCTCTTTGTGGAATGTGCATGAGATTGTCCCTCCCGGTTTCTCCCTTTGCCCTGAGGTGTGTTTTCTCACCTATTCGTCTCTTCCTCACATTATCCTATCCACGAAGAAATGTTGTTTTGCACTGAACTGGTTACCTTCCTTCCTTTGTCACCACCTTCATACGAAGAGCACCTGCCTCTTTCTCTTCCCTTCCCTTATTGTGTGGTTTGCATCACTACTCCCTCCTCCCGCATCTCTCTCTCTCTTTCTCTCTTTCTCTCTCTGTTTGTTCCGTCTAACTGATCAAATAGTTTATCCTCCTTTTTAGCCTCACACGAAGAGCACCTGCTTCTTCCCTTTCCCTATTCTATGGTTTGGATCCTCTCTCTCTCTCTCTCTCTCTCTCTCTCTCTCTCTCTCTCTCTCTCTCTTTCTCTCTCTCTGCTCTCTGCCTTCTTGATTGTCGAATTTCTGATCAAACCGTTTATCGTCCTCTGTTACCTGCAGACGAACAGTTCCCTGCACACGAACAGTATCTGCCTCTCCCCTTCCCCTCTCCTGTGGTTTGCATCCCCTCTCTCTCTCTCTCTCTCTTTCTCTCTTTCTCTCTTTCTCTCTTTCTCTCTCTCTCTTTCTCTCTTTCTTCTTTTTCTCTCTTTCTCTCTCTTTCTGTCTTTCTCTCTCGTTCTCTCTCTTTCGTGGTTGTCGAAGAACAAGCTGTGAACTTTCTTCTGATCGCGCCGTTGTTCATGTCGCCACCTTGTATCGGATTATTTGTCCACTCACTCTAATCATCATATATTGTGATTACAGAAGTATGTGTTTATGTAAGTCGTTGGCGTGTCCTCTCGTAACGTTGTTGTTGTTTCCTCACTTAACCTTGTTGTTGCTTCCTACGCGTTTGCTCTGTGTTGAACGCGGAAAATCAAAAGTGTACTGACAGCAAGTACGATTCTTTGTTTGATTGGGGTGATCCTTTTTTTTCTTTTGTGCTTGGACGGTGCTTTTCTCCCTCCGCGCCTGTCTAGTCGTTGATTGGCGGGAACTGAAAATTGAGGGCTTCGTTGATTGGCGGGAACTGAAAATTGACGGCTTCGTTGATTGGCGGGAACTGATTTGGCGGGAACTGAAAATTGAGGGCTTCGCCACCACGTTTTCGATCACTGTTTTTCTTCCTCCCTTTGTAGATTTAAATTTTTTTCCCGCCCTACCTCCCCCTTCGCGGGACCCCCCCCCTCCCGCGGGACTCCCCCCGCTGCCGGGCCCCCCGGCAAAGGCTCCCTGGGCCTCGATCGACGATCATAGATTTCGAAGCGTCTATAGCAATACCACCCTACGTGCTTATCGCGCTGTTCGTTGTTCGGCGCTCTTCATTTCGGTCCCTATTTTGGGGCGAGGCGGATGGAGGGAGGGAGGGAGGGGGAGGGGGTTGGAGGAGGTGGGAGTGGAGGTGATTTGGGAGTGGTGTGTTTCACCTCCCATGGGCGGCGTTTCGTCACCGCTGCGCTCGATCCCGACCGATATCCCCCCCTATTCCCCCCCTGTTGTTGTGACACCCTTGTAGCGACTCTGGGATCAACAGCCCACAAAAACCATTCTTATCACCTCTTGTCACTGCTCCTCCTTCCCCAACTTCTACCTCGTCTCGACCTACATCTCTCCTCAGCCAAAGCTTCTCCTTGAGCTCTTCGTCATTTCGATGACCTGGGGATTCCGCTCTCCATGCTCTCTCCCTCTTCTCCTGGACCCGATTCTAACCTCCGTCCCGATCGCGATCCGTATGTGTGTATACGGTCACTCTGTCGTTAGGTTGTAGGTGTGTCAAAAACACATTTCGGCATTATATAGGGAGAGGGCGGTTCTAGGGGAGGCTAGTTCTGGGGGCCCGAGGTGGGGTGGCGGTGGGGGTGGGGGGGGAGGGGGGTATGATTTTCATGTGTCGTTGCCTCCCACTTGGTGTAGCCGTTCTTGATTTTAGTCCTCACTCCTTTTTTTTATTTATTTATTTTATTTTATTTTTTTAACACCATCTGCAGCAGCGGCCTTCCGGCCCTCGTGTATATGGTACGTACGGTGGTTCATGCATGTCCACTTCACTGTGAGCCTGTTGCGCACTGTATGATGGGGTATATAGTTTACCAACCCTTTGCGCTGCCTTCGTCGCCCATTCCCCCTCCCTCCCCTCCCCCGAATTTCCTTTTCTCCCCTTCCCTTTCCTGCTCTTTTCTGGGCAAACTGCGCTCCGATCTCTCTCATGACCACCGCGAAATTGTGGCCTCTTCGTGACTGACTGGATACTGGACCGTCTGGCGACGCAGCTTGCCTTATATATATCAGCAGAGAGCTAGGATTACCTTGCTAGCCTACATGGTAGCGGTCCCCGGCTCTCTCTCTCTCTCTCTTTTTTTTTTTTTTTTTTTTTTTTTTCTTCTTTCTTTCTTTCAGTGTCTGAACCTCTCGCGCGCGCGTGATAGCGTGAAATGCCTGCAGGCTGGAACCTTTGCCGAACACGGATCTCATCCTGTGGCCCCCTTCGTCGCAGCGCGGCGGCCCCCTTTGCAAACCTGAAACCCTTTTTCGTTCGTTCGTTCGTTCGTTCGTTCGTTCTTTTCAAAATGTGGCGTGCTAAGCCTTGCCAGTTTTTGGTGTCTTTCTCACCGTTGGGGTGATTAGTCAAGCGAGGGCGGGCCAATCTATGCCCGATCTGATGTAAACGCCGATATAGAGGGGGTTGGGGGGGGG